TGTAATTTTCATCTTTAGATTGGCAGCAGCATCAGAATTTTCATTTTATAACTTCTTTTGGAGTTGGAACTTTTTTTTTCAACTAGCCTCTTAGGTCCTTCCTCTCCTCTGTTTCCACTTTGTTTTTTGTTTCTAAAGACCCTTAAAAGATCTTCCTTTTATTTTGGGATTTAATTTAAATTCCTTAAGATGGCACACAGGGTCCATCTCTCATAGCCTCTGCTTCAGCCAAGTTAAGCAATTTGTGTTCATAAACATGCAATTGTCTTTGATATCACTATTTTTTCAGCCCACATTGTTTTCTTTGCTTGGCAATACTCTTTGCTGGGTAAGTCCTGCTTATCTTTCCAGATACTTCTGGAATGTTGGGGAACTTCTCTTTGATTTTTTTCAGATTGAGTACGGGGCCACTTTTCCCAAGGTCCTGTGCAAATCCTGATTGTAGTGTTTATAATATTGGACTTCAGTTTTTTGCTTTTCTCATCCTAAACTAGAAATCCCTTCGTGAGAGACAAGGATTCAGTCTTTCCTCCTTATCCTGTCCTTCCTGTGTGTTTCATTTATCTGAATTTCTCACTATTTATGACAGAGCTGAATCTTCTATTTCTTTTAATAGTAGCTCTTTATAAATGGGAGTTTTGGCCTGAGGTCCAACACATTCATTTATGAATTTAACAGTTATTTTCTGAATTGTTCATTCTGTGTCAAGGGCTCTGCTGTTTGTTCACTACTACTTGGAGGCTATACGATTCAAGCACCAATCAGAATTAGTAGCTAAGGCATGCCAGTTTTAATACCTAGGTGTTGGGTGGATAGGAGCAGCAAACCACCATGGCACACGTTTACCTATGTAACAAACCTGCATGTCCTGCACATGTATCCCAGCCAGACTTAAAATAAAAATAATTCAAGTATCGGATAAGGAGTTATGCTAATTGCATGAAGTAGAAAGTCTGAAGGTATAAAAAATTAAAACAAGATTTTTTTTTTTTTTTTTCCGAGATAGAGTTTTGCTCTTGTTGCCTAGGCTGGAGTACAGTGGTGCAGTGCAATCTCTCTGCAACCTCTGCCTCCCGGTTTCAAGTGATTCTCTTGCCTCAGCCTCCCAAATAGCTGGGATTACAGGCATATGCCACCATAAATGGTTAATTTTGTATTTTTTTTTTTTTTGAGACGGAGTTTCACTCTTGTTCCCCAGGCTGGAGTGCAATGGCGCAATCTCGGGTCACCGCAGCCTCCGCCCCCTGGGTTCAGTCAATTCTCCTGCCTCAGCCTCCTGAGTAGCTGGGATTACAGGCACGCGCCACCGTGCCCAGCTAATTTTTTGTAATTTTTAGTAGAGACGGGGTTTCACCATGTTGACCAGGATGGTCTCGATCTGTTGACCTCATGATCCACCCACCTCGGCCTCCCAAAGTGCTGGGATTACAGGCTTGAGCCACCGCGCCCGGCCTAATTTTGTATTTTTAGTAGAGATAGGATTTCACCATGTTGGTCAGGCTATTCTCGAACTCCTGACCCCAAGTGATCCACCCTCCTCAGCCTCCTAATGTGTTGGGATTACAGGCATGAGCCACTGCACCTGGCTGAAACAAGAATTTTTGAAGATGCCAAGTATAAGGGAGGCTACTTTATGGTTTTATAAAGTTTTCTCCAAAGGAAGAAATTTTTAAAAAGGTGTTTCCAATACATATTTTTACAGGTAGTATAAAATTTTAAAAGAAATGTTTAAAGAGGTGTTTCTAATACATATTTTATAGCCAGAAAAATTGACTCTGTGATATGCTACTCCCACCAATTTACGTATCCTAAGCTCAGAAAATACTTCTTGCTGGTTTGCTTCCAAAAAGTAACTTCTACCACGATAGAAAGCAGATACTGCCTCACTCACTAGTGAACTGGTGTTCATAAATTTCTGGAATTTTAATTTTATTCATATATATTTTAAACTCACCAGATTTTTGTCTTAATATTTAATCTATTAAAGAATATACTGGAAGTTTCTTAAGATAATTTAAACTCATTTCAATTTTAGAATGATGTTAGAAATGGGAAGTTAGTCTTATATGTGGACAACATATTTTACATCTAGAGCCTCAATAGTAGAAATTAGACCTAAAGATACTTCTTTTTCCCCTTTGCTTTATTTAGAAAATATTGAAAAATTCGCAAAAATAAAAGAAAAAACTGCATCTTATTTGAAAGTAGGGTAAGATATTATATTTTTTAAAAAGTCCCCCAACCTCCCAGTCTGACCTTATGCTGTTAATATTTTCACAGCTTTTCTACCGACTTCTAAAGGTGCCTTATAAGTACTGTTGTTAAAAATATATAGTGATGTGTTTTCTATGTTTTATAATAACAACTTTGAAGGTTCCTTTTCATACTTAACTTTCTTCTGCTTTGATCTTTATTTTTATTTTTTTGATCAGTTTCTTTTTTTACAAAAGCAAATGAGGCACATTGTTAAAAAAAAAAGTCATAATGTAGACATTATGTACTAGAAAGTGAGTTTCCTTTATCACTATTCTGCAGGTAACTAGTAAATATCTTTGTGCACATTATTTTAGATAACTGTTAACTTTTTGTTAACATTATAACATTGTCCCTTCCTTTTTTAAACAAAAAAAATGGGATCACACTTTCTATACTCACTTATATTTTTCACTCATTAATTCTTCATTGTACAGCCTCTCTTCCCTGTTACCATGTGTAGGTCTGTCTCAGACTTTTTAGCAGCTACATAATATTTCACAGAATGAATTTGTAATCTAATAAGCTGGTTTTACATTAGGGTCTTTCCAGTATTTTGCCATTGCAAATAATGCTGCAACAAGCATTTTTGTACCTTGTACACAGTGTATATTTCTGTAGGATGATACATAGATGTGGAATTGCATGCTTGGAGGAGATTGCACATGTAAAATGTTGCTGTGATTTTAAGATTAATCTTTTCTTTAAGGCTTTAAACAGTACTTAACTATAAAGAAGAATGTTCTGATTTGAGAGTACACATTGTTTAAGAGGAGAGATGATTTCTTTTCCTGAAGGCATAGTGAAACTTTCAGGAAGGATTTTTTAGTTGTTTTGTTTTATCGTTTTTTTTTTTTTTCTTTTGGTGGGAGGAACTTTAACTTTTTAATTTCAGGGGTACATATGTAGACTTATTACGTAGGTAAGCTCATGTCATGGGGGTTTGTTTTACAGATTATTTTGTCACCCAAGTACTAAGCCTAGTAGCAAATAGTTATTTTTTCTGATCCCCTTTGTCCTCCCACCCTCCACCCTCAAGTAGGCTCCAGTATCTGTTGTTCTGTCTTTGTATCCATGAGTTCTCATCATTTAGCTGCCACTTATAACTGAGAACATGCCGTATTTGGTTTTCTGTTCCTGTGTTAGTTTGCTAAGGATAATGACCTCCAGCTCCATGTTCCCACAAATGACATGATCTCATTCTATTTTATGGCTGTATAGTATTCTACAGTGTATATGTACCATATTTTCTTTAATCTATCATTGATGGGCATTTAGGTTGATTCCTCGTCTTTGATATTGTGAATAGTGCTGCATGAACATTTGCCTGCATATGTCTTTATGGCAGAACAATTTATATTCCTCAAGGTATATTCTCAGTAATGGGATTGCTGGGACCAATGGCAATTCCGTTTCTCGCTCTTTGAGGAATTGCCACACTGCTTTCCACAATGGTTGAACTAATTTACACTCCCACCAACAGTGTAAAAGCATTCCTTTCTCTCCACAACCTCACTAGCATCTATTATTTTTTTAACTTTTTGATAATAGCCATTCTTACTAGTGGGAGGTAGTATCTTATTGTAGTTTTGATGTGCATTTCTCTAATGATTAGTGTTTTAACCTGAATTTTATATGATATGTGGAATCTTTGTAAGAAAGTATTACTCAATCCAGTTGCTTTTAAAAAAAATCTATGTTCTTACTGGTGGCATCTCCTCAATAATGCTATTATTTCATTCAATTTTAATATTTTTTATGATAAACCACAGTGTTGTTAGTTTAATTCTATTCTGTACAGTGTGTTATAGGATAAAAATAAAGTGATTCCTTTAAGATAGATTATCTTAAAGGAAATGTATGAAGGTGATCCCATCAATAAAAATAAAATCCTCAGAATGTTATTTTGCTCACATATTTTATCTTCGCATAACATTGAAAACAGTTGCGATTGTGCCTTACTGAATGAAAGAAACCTTATACATGAACTTCAAACACATTTTCTTTTCTAAGGAGAGGCTATAACCCTTGCTCTTTTCTAATTGAGGCTATAAGCCTTGCTTTTAGATTCTAAGAGTAGTTTTCTGAAGTTGTGTGTTGAGGGCCTTTCATAGTACCACCCAAAAGTAGGTATGTAGTACATTTTTGGATAGTATCTCTGTTTAACCCAAGTTCTTTCATCTACATTTTTGAGTCCAGTTATTCTCTCTGTTTTTGTAAACATGCATATCAAATTGCTATTTGAAAAATTGAAGATTTCAAATTTATATTTAAAAGGCAAATGGGCTCATAATCTTTATCACTATGGAATTTGTTCTCAGCATCTGAGGACTTGAGCAGTCAACTATATAGACAAATATTGGAAGATGGGATTTGTGTTTAATATAGAACTTTATTTTAGCTTTTTGAAAGTGACTTTTTAAATTCTAAGATAATCATAATCTTTCTAGTCTGATTTGTAAATGCTTATCTGCTACTTAATCTTTTTCTTTGTAAGACATCATACTTTTCAGATTTTGAGATGAGAGTAGTTTTAAAAATAATTTTCTCTTGTCTTTTTTTTTTTTTTCAGAAAACAAGCATCATTGTGGGTTCAAGGAGACATTTTCCGATCCAAACTGAAAAATCGACAATCCAGTGAAGGAAGTATTAATAAAATTCTTTCTAGCCTTGATGATATGTCTATTGGTGGAAACCTATCGAAAATACAGAACATGGAAAGATTTGGAGAGGTAAGTTTTCCTTAGGAAGATTTTGTCTCCTTAAAACTGATGCTCTGCATTTGTTTCTCATTTGGACATGTATAATATAGCAGTGTCTTTTCTCCGGATGCCGAGAATACCAAATCTGTAGATGTAGAGTCATTCATCTATATCGCAAGAAGCAGAGAAAGAAACCAATTGTCCTTAAACAGAAAAAAAACTATAATTTAAGGAGTAAATTATAAAGGAGGCTACTCTGGTTAGGGAGAGTATTTACAGTAAGGAAACAGAAAAGCAGACTTTCTATTTGAAAATTAAAACAGATATCGAGAAAAATAATTTTAATGTGACAATTGAGGAAATAATATATACCACAAGTGGTACTTTGAAAGCCTCAAATTCATGCTGATTTCTAAAGTAAGTGCAGACTTGAAAACATGATTAGGGCAACTTAAAAAAAAATTAAGACTCTAATGTAAACAAAACACTTTAAATAGTTGATATATATTTCCTGATTTAATATTCGTAACTACCTGGTGAGTTGGCAATACTATCTCTATTTTATAGGAAGGAAACTACATGTCAGAGATGTTCTGACCTCAGTGTCAAATATTCAATCCATGTCTGTCTGATTTCAAACTTGTGTTTTTTTCTATCATACCCTGTTACCTCTGAATAAAAATAGAACTGAATGACTAAGAATTAGAATAATGAGCATTTTTGGAACTAGAAACAACATCGAAACCATTTGTTTGGTTCCACTATTGTACAGATAAGAAATTGGGGTCCTGGGTCCCAGAAAATCTGTGATTTGTGCAAAGTTCCAGAGTTGTTTGATAGTGGGGTCGCTTTGAGAACTGGGCATTCAATTCCTAGTTTAGGTCTTTCTACCACATTATGCCTGAGGTGAAGCTGAGCATCTGGTTTACATTTTTATATCTCTAAAGGAGCAAAAAAGAAAAAGAAAAAGAAAAAAAGGACCTGTTCAAATAGTGGTGCAAGCCAGGCAGGGCATGATGGATACCTGTGTGGTCCCAGCTACTTGGGAGACTGAGGCAGGAGGATGCTTGAGCCGGAGTTGGAAGCTGCAGTGAGCTATGATGGCGCCACTACACTCTATCCTGAGCAGCAGAGCCAGACCCTGTCTCTAAAAAAAGAAAGAAAGAAAGAAAGGAAAGAAAAAAAGAAAAATAAAAAATATAGAAGCAACAAGTATAGATTTACATTCCATTAGACAGTGACCCATTAGACCTGGACACGGGCCTTAAACCAAATACTGTGGCTCAAGCTTTAGCCCTGAAGGAACCCAGAATGGAAGGAACACATCATAGCTCTCTTAGGTTAACGACTGGCATCCCAAACAGATTTCTTTTTAGCAAGAAAGATAGCCACAGTGCTTGGAGATTGGGAATGTGAGTTTTCTTTCAAGGACAAATGATGGAGACCGTTGGAAGAACTTATTTTTAAGCCCAGTGCTGTGCTCTCCAGGATGGCTGCTGATGAGGTGACTCAGTTTACCCATTGGAGTCATCTGTCCTGATGAAATGTACATCTTATGCAAGGTCATGTTTATGTTAGAGCCTTTGCTGACTTTTTCTTGTTTCTATGTTGCACTTTCACCTATTAAAAGCAAATAAAAAGAAAGGCTCTGACCTAAGATTTTAACGTGATAATATAGCTAAGCAAGAGTACCTTTTTCCTTCCCAGGTTGAGCTCAGGTAAACAGGGCTTTAAGTTCTGAATTCGGAAAAGACAAACATAAAGTTAATCCTGTTGTCCCAGACACATACTTACCTTGCAGGAACGTAGCACTTTCTACGTCATAATCTTGATTACATTAACACCCGGTAATTAGAACATTTTATTCTCATGCTCTTTTAAACCCCAATTGGTTGAACTTACGAATACTTAACATTTATGTATCACTATGAAGGTGAGAAATGCAAGATGATTGGAATTTAAAGTAAGTCAGTTTTAAATATAAGTATGTATATCTATAAGTCTACTCCCCCTTCTTAGTCCGTTTGGGCTGCTGTAAGAAAACACCATAGGCTAGGTGGCTTATAAACAACAGAAATTTATTTCTCACAGTTCTGCAGGTTGGGAAGTTCAAGATCAAGGCATCAACAGATTTTGTGACTGGTGAGGGCCTGCTTCCTGGTTCATAGACAGCACGTTCTGCATCTTCACATGGCAAAAAGGGCAAACAAAATCTTGCCATCACATTGGGGGTTGAGATTTCAATATATGAATTTTGGGGGCTATAAACATTCAGACCATAGCACCCCCCATCATTATTTTAGTTTTAGCCATTAAAATGCTGTTGTTTCTGAAATTCAAGGGCAGAAATGAAAGAATTCAGAGATGCCAGAGAATGATGTATGGTGAATATTTTACACAGCCTCATGTAATGCTTTGTGCAGGTAACTCTTATAAGCACTTTTCTTGCCATGCTTATGTGGTGCCAGCTTTGGGATTTCACATGAATATGGAAAATTACTCAGAATTGGACTTAACAGAGTTAGTGAAGTCTTTATTGTTCTTATAAATTGAACATGGAAAAATAGATTGAGAATACTGTAAGAATTTAATGTGTTTCAAGTTGCGTGCATGGAATTTCTGGATTTACTTAGTTTGTGTATATAGAAAGTGCAAAAAGACAGTATTCCTCTAGAGATTTCCTTTAAAAAAAGATTAAAAGCAGAGAGTCTTAATTATTTTTTTCTCTAGGCTTACAGGAATTTTCTTGTGATTAGTTACTAGGAAGCTCTGTATTACCAGATTTGGAGAATTGGAATATAGTTTTTTAGGGCAGGTGTGGTGGCCTATGCCTGTAATCCCAACACTTTGGTAGGCTGAGGTGGATGGATCACTTGAGGCCAGGAGTTTGAGATCAGCCTGGCCAGCATAATGAAACCCCATCTCTACTAAAAGTAAACACACACACACACACACACACACACACACACACACAGAAAAAAAAAAGCCAGATATGATGGCACATGCCTGTAGTCCTGGCTACTTAGGAGGCTGAGGCATGAGAATGACTTGAACCCAGGCTATGGAGGTTGCAGTGAGCTGAGATCGTGCCACTGCACTCTAGCTTGGGCAACAGAGCAAGACTCTGTCTCTAAATAAATAAATAAATATTTTCTTTAGTGCTTAGGATGTAGGTGAAAGGAAAACAATCAGAATGATGCAGGTCATAGTGATGGACTAGGTTATGTTTAATGAATGTTCTTTGCCAACTTAGAGTTATGAGAAATAAAATAGGGGCTTTCCCTTTATTTACCCTGGACTTCAGTGCTGGGCTGGGCACTATGAAATATACACAGCCCATCCTGTGGGTCCAGCGTAGGCTCCTTGCTCCCTGCTCCTGCCTTGCACTGTACTTTTCCTCCACAGCCCTTAACTCTTCTTCCTGGCTAGGTGATACTCTCTATGAAGGTAGAGACTTTCATTTGTCTTCATCATGCTTCTATTTTTGGCCAAAGGCCTTAATAAATATTATGTGAATGAATGAAGAAGGTTTATAGTTTCAGAGAAAAAAAAGGACAGAGACATGAAATTGGTAATAATCTAAGCTACCTGAATACATTATGTGCTCAAACACAAAATAGTACCAGCAGTAAGTTCTCACTTTAACAATCAGAGGCCTATGGATCCATTATGGATTGGAGTTATTTTTAAAGATGGAAGTTAAAGTACTTTATTTAAAATGCAAATATTAAATCAGAATCTTAGCATGCAACAACTACCTAAACAGAAGGTACTATGTGCCAGGAACTGTTCTAGGCACTTGACATTAATTAGCCCCTTTAATCCTTACAGTAGCTGTATGAAATAGGCCCTGTTACTAGGACCATTGACAGGAGACATACCTGAGGTAGAGGTCAAACTCTCTGCCCGAGGTCGCGAGTACATGGTGAGGTGGTCGTTGAATTTCTGTGCTCTGGCTCCAGACTCTGTGTACTCAGCCACCCTCCTGGGAGGCCTCTCACTATACTCTGCTAACTCTCTGTGAGCTCTTCAGTGTGGCTTTAGTATATCATATACAGTAATTTTGAGCAAAACCTTAACTTCTCCTGAAATTACAACAGCTTTTAGATTTTCTACTTAGGGCTATAGTCCAATATTAGCATGCCAATCAGTAGATGTTCTTGACTTAGTGTTATTAATTAGATACAGGTGCTAATGTGCAGCCAAGTTCATGTAAATTGACAATCAAGTAGACAAACGTAGTGTTTTAATGACATCTTTGAGATATTGTGATTTATAAAAACCATCAAGTACTCACAAGCAGGGTGCATCTTAGAAAAATCTATGAAGTAAAAATTAATACTCTAATGCCCTGGTTTTAAGCACCTTTCTTTCCCCTGTTTTGACAGTGAAGACCAGTTCTTTTTTTGTTTGTTTTTGAGATAGAGTCTCACTCTGTTGCCAGGTGCCAGGCTGGAGTGCAGTGGCACTATCTCGGCTCACTGCAACCTCTGCCTTCTGGGTTCCAGCAATTCTGCCTCAGCCTCCTAAGTAGCTGGCACTACAGGTGCACGCCACCATGCCCAGCTAACTTTTGTATTTTTAGTAGAGACAGGGTTTCACCATGTTGGCAAGGATGGTCTCGATCTCTTCACCTCGTGATCTGCCTGCCTCAGCCTCCCAAAGTGTTGGGATTACAGGCCACGGTGAGCCACGGTGCCCGGCCTGGTGAAGACCGGTTCTAATCTGAATTCTACTGGGATCCACCAGAGGTTATTAAGCACGGAATGACAGCACATAGAATAATAGTGCTGGGACGTCACTCTAGCTATGGTGTCATATGGGACTGGGGTTGGATGGCCAGGGAATTGGTAATGGGGAGGTCCAGGTTTTAAAGGTCCCAATGAGTGGCAGTGAATGGGGCAGCCAGAAGAGAGATGTGGGTAGCTCTGGTAAACCCAAACTTTCTATTGATCAGAAGCAGCTTATTATAAAGATGACATCTTTGCCATTTCCCAACACTTAAATCTCATAGGTTCAACATCTGAGAGCTGAAAAGAATTTAGAGATGACCCAGCCACCTTTCCTAGCCAATTTATTAAAATCTGCTAAAAATTCCATTCTCATCTTTATCTTCCAGTTCTTGGACTTCTATTTTTACTCTTTTCTATTTAAACTATCTACTTATGTCATTGTTCTATTACGATTCTTCCATCTTTATCCCCTAGTGTGCTACATTCTGTCTCATAAATCTTTCCTTAATGGCACTTTCCACAGCCTCCTCTATAGCTTACTCTGCCATGATTTTGTTTATGTTTTGGTCAGCAATTACTTTATCCAGCTGAAATCTATCGACACTATTGTATATAGAGAGAACAACTGGTGGAATAAAGTAAGTGTTTATTCTTCACGTTGATATTCGCTCTTTCACTAGGACATCACTCGTGTTCTTTTTAAAATTGTACTGCTTTCGGTACAGTATTTTGGTTTGCTGTCATTTAGGGCAGTCCAGTATCCAAAAGGAGTGTTGCTGCTTAGATCCTCCAGAGGGCAATGGGGCATCCCAGAGCAGATCCCTTTCCTGTGGGGGACAAAGGGAGGAGGGTCTTACCTGGACTAGGTAGGGTTCTTCACTGTTGCTGGCATCAGCCACGTGGTTTTGTTTCTTTTCAGCAGATTCCAAGCAATCTGCTTCTGGACCAGCTTAGGGTAAGAGAGAGTCAGCCCTGGCATTTTGTAGGGAGGGACTGGAGCCTGAGGGCAGGCCCAGGTTGGGTTCTCTTCATTTGTCATTTGTGAATGTGTTCTTTAGTCGTCATGAAGAATGAATTTGGTATAAGGAAGGAGGCCTAACAGCACCTGATGAGAAAAGTCTTCAAACTCTTCCTAGGCCACCAACTCATGAGACTGATTTGTGTTACACAATACATTGTACTGCATTGATAATAAACATTTCCCCCCCCACAGGTTCTTATGACCTGGTATATCTTATAGGATCAATCCCCTAATAAATGTAAGGCTTGTTGTATTTATGTCTGTCTTATTCAGTATTCCAGGTTTTTATTTTCCTAATTAGGAAATTTTAATTAGGTTTTTAGTTTCCTAATTCTGTGATTTAATGTAAACATGTTTTGAATAACATTAACTATTTTTGTCAAGAGTTTGAAGGCTATTTATTGATCACTGAGAATTTTATAGTTTATATGTTCTATCTCTCATAGTCCTAAAAATGATCTATTCTTTGTACAGTGGCCACAGAGACAAAATAAAAGACAATTGGTTTAGACAAAAAATAATATGGTTTATATTTTAGTAATTTTTTTTTCAGACCTGTAGTACATTTCTGGATCTTTCCTGCTTATTCCCTCTCCCCAAGTCTGGATTCCAACGCAGTTTCCCATACCCTAATCCAATCCATAATTTCTCATCAGACCACCGCATAGCTACTTAAATGTGTCCCTCCCCAAAGACTTGAACTCCAGTTCATTCTCACAGTGATAATGTGAGGAAATATATGCAACATATACAAATGAGGGGGTTTCATGGGTATAAAGAACTCTTACAAATCACCAAACACCATGTTCACGAGCAAAACAATATGGGAACAGTCCTGATGGTAAACATCACCAATGTTCTACTTCCCTAGAAATGAACTAAACACAAATTCAAACGATGAGATGCTGTTTATGCCTATCAAATGTATTAAAAATATATTCAGCATTGACAAATGTTTAGGGAATAAAAAGCTCTTAAACATTGCCAGTTGGAGTTTATAATGGTGCAGCCTTTTTGGAGGGCAATTTGGTAATACGTAGATGACTTTAGAAGGAATTCCACTTCTATGAATTTGTCTTAAGGGAATAATAAGACAGTGTTCATGAACCATGTATATGTAAGACTATGTTTGCTGAGGCTGTTTATAGTGATGTAATACAGAGACCAGCCTAACCTAAGGTATTGGTTAAATAATAAAATTAGGCATATCTAGATATTAGAATTTCATGGAGCCATAAAATTACAGAGATTGTAAAAAATTTGTTCTGAAAAACTTCCACAATATTTCTTAAGTTAAAAAAGTTACAAAGCAGCATATGTATGTAATACAACCTCCTTTTGTAAGGAAGAAGTAGGTTGGGGGTTTTATATAGCACAGGGAAAGTTTTGGAAGACTATGTGCCAGAATGTTAATGTGTTTTGCTTTTGACGGCAAATATATAGGTGGTTTTAATATTTTTTCATGTTTGCCTATACTTTATTACTAATGACAAAGATGTAAACATATCTACATATATATGGCAAATGCATATATAAATACATAAAAAATGTATCATAAATATATCAGTATCTCTCTAGATATACAAACTTTTTTTTTTGAGATAGAGTCTCCATTGCCCAGGCTGGAGTGCAGTGGTATGATCTCGGCTCGTTTCAACCTCTGCCTCCTGGGTTCAAATGGTTCTCAGTGCCTCAGTCTCCCAAGTTGCTGGGACTACAGGCATATGACACCACCCTGGCTAATTTTTGTATTTTTACTAGATGGGGTTTCACCATGTGGGCTAGGCTGGTCTTGAACTCCTGGCCTCATGTGATCCACCTGCCTTGGCCTCCCAAAGTGCTGGGATTACAGGCATGAGCCACCGTGCCTAGCCATATACTTTAAAAAATAATAATAATAAGAAAAAACACCTTTGCCCGTGTGGTCATTGCCATCGCAGCCACCCAAGAGGTGCTGGGGGAGGACTGTAGCCCACAAGGCTCGGGGCAGACAATGCAGCAGCAGTGGGAGCAGCAGAGGCAGAAGCTCCAGCACTCTCTCTCTTCCCACTCAGCCTGAGCCAGGGGAGGCCAGGCAGCCCAGGTGTCTGGAGGGGGATCTGCAGCTGGAGAATGAGAATTCTCTTTACCAGAATATGGAGACTGTTCAATCACCAGGAGCACAGAGTTAGCACTGTTGGGCGGGATAATACAGGGAAAACTACCATCTTTTGCCAGTTTTCCATGAATGAAGTTGTACGTACATCTCCTACAACAGGAACTAATTAATGGAGAAGACATAGTGATTAATAATACACGTTTCCTAATGTGGGATACTGGTGGCAAGAATCTCTTCGTTCTTCCTAGAACATTTATTATACTAACACAGAGTTTGTAATAGTTGTTGTGGACAGTACAGACAGAGAGAGGATTTCTTTAACTAGAGAAGAACTTATAAAATGTTAGCACATGAGGACCTAAGAAAAGCTGGATTGCTGATTTTTGCTAATAAACAAGGTGTTAAAGAATGCATGACAGTAGCAGAAATCTCCCAGTTTTTGAAGCTAACTTCTATTAAAGATCATCAGTGGCATATCCAGGCATGCTGTGCTCTAACTGGAGAGGGATTGTGCCAAGGACTTGAATGGATGATGTCGTGACTTAAGACTAGATTATCTCTACTGACCTCTCATAGACTCTGTATAAATGAAGTGCTGGACTGGACCTGACAGCTGCAAAAATGAATGGTTTCAATATATTTATAATAAACGGATTTAAACTTTTTCTGTAAGAAGAAAAATTAAGACCACTTATTTGAAAACAAAGATGAAGTCTCAGCTTCCAATTTGCTTTCTCATTAGTTTTTTCCAAAGTAAGTTATTAAATGTCAATTAAAGTGATTGACATTTTTCTCATAATGAATCCTCTCAGGACATTGTGTAGCCTGTGGTAAGTACAAAGGGAGAGGAAGATATTTTGAATTTTAAGAGCTTTATTATCAGTATAACCCTCCCTGGTTGAATGTTGTTTTCTTCTTGTTCCATTAAGTCAAAATACAAATCAGCACAGATATTTAGTTTCCAATATTTTCAAATGTAATGTTACTTCTGAAAAGTATTTTGCTTAACATTGTGTGTGTATTGTGTATATACCTCAAGTTCAAGTTAATGGCTTTCATTTATGTTCTAAAGAAAGAGAAATAACACAAATATTAATAATATCCTTAGTTATAACCATAATAAGTATTGGCATTGGTGTTAAGTGCCATTTTCTACTTTGTCCCTATGTTCTCTGTATTGTACTAACCAATCTCCCAAATTATTGAGCTGCTTGTTAAAAAAGAAAAAAGGGAAAAGGAAAAAGCATGGCATTGTGTATCAATTTTTTTGTTGTTGACCAGTCACACACATGGAAACATGTAATTCAAGAGAGTGGGATAGCACTCAGATTCTTGGCTTCATACTATTAACGGGCGGGATTGTACAATGAGCAACTATCAGAGTATTCCTTTCAGTGGTTTTTATGGCATCTAAATTACTGAATAAATTATTAATCCATTAATCAGTGAATCATTTTATGATTAAAATTATCAAAGGAATTCTCAGCATTAATTGAAAAGTATGCGTGAAACATGTCTACCCAGAAAAGTAACATTCTATAAGTACTATTCAACAACTTAGCTATGTTATTTTTAAATATTAAATTATTTGTCAAGCAGTTAAAGTGAATTTTAAAATAAAAGTAAAGTATGTTTCTGAGCAACTTTGATAATTTCTTAGTTTGCAAATTTCTTCTTATTTTGGTACTTAACATATAGTGTGATATATTTTATTTCTAAATTTTGTTGTATCTTCTGTTACATAAATGCATTGTTTGACAAAAATGCAAGTTTTCTGAATGATTAAAAAAAGAAAAAAGAAAAAAAATGGATTATTCTCCAGAGGTTGAGAGCTAGGACTTCATGTGTTGTTTTCTTTTTCTTGGTGAGTGAGGATGTTGTAGTAAACTTGAGAGGAGGAAGTAAAAGTCTAGATAGGTGCATGGCTGTGTACTGTAGTGTTTTTGTTGTTTTCTGATAAATGTATCATAATTTACAGAAATATATGACCTTTCAGATTCACAATAGAATGAGAGAAAAATACATGTAAAGTAATTATAATTTAATATGTACTGTTATTTAATTTCCTGTTTAACTGTACATCTTTAAAATGCTTTTATTCTTTTCAAGCAATATATGATCACAGCTTAAAAAATATCAACAAGTGTTGAATTCTAGCAACAAAAAAAATCATCCTCCTGTCTCACCTTTCTGTGTCCCTGGACCTACTTTCAAAGGGAGAAATCTCCGGGAAAATTATACTGATATTTTTAGTGCCATATTTCTATTATGAATACATTGCTGTTTTTTAATTGATCAACTTGGGACATTTTTCTATTGCTTCCTGGTGCTTGTAGACAGGATGCAGCTCTTCTATCTCACTGTGACCACCACTTCCCTTAGCTCCCTAATATAACTATACTGGTTAAATCAAGTAATGTGCACATCAGTGCTACGTAAATATTGTTCATGGTTTAGGTTAGTAGTACACTATGACTGTTTTCTTTTTTGATGCTCTCTTTGTTTGTCCTAGACTTAATTGCCTTTTTTATTTGCATAGTTTTTATGCATTTAGGAAACAATAATGCTTTAAAAAGTTGTGCCAAACAATTTAAAATTTTTTCAAAATCTTAACACAGCAAAATTCCATTCTAATTCCATTTTTTTTTTTCCTGAAGACAGTTCTCTCTTCTAACATGGACTGGTTGTTCTTAGCCCAGCTCTGTGTGTGTGTGTGTGTGTGTGTGTGTGTGTGTGTGTGTGGTCTTAGGATTAGAACTATATAGTTTGATTCGATAACTCTTCTCTATATTCTTCAGTTAGATTCATCATTTTATTGGATTTCATGTTATCTTTCCTTTTTTTCTAAAGAGCATATCCTGTAATAGTTTTCTCAGAAAGATTGTATGGGAGGTAAATTTTTTGTATCTGTTTTACCTGTATACTTACCTGAGAAGTTGCGTTTTTGAATTACAGGTTGAGAATCCTTTTTTTTTTTTTTAAGTATTTTGAAGGTGTTTCTGGTGGGAAACATAAAGATCCTCCTAGTTGGAGGAACAAGTAAGCTTTCCTGGTTTTCAAAATCCTACCAAAGCACCCAGTGACAATGAAACTGATGGTGGTAAGGATCCTGTCAGGTCCTCCTAGAAGCAAAAGTTTGGCCAGTCTCATAAGGGCGTACATGCTTTTTAGCCTCACCTCATATTCAGGAAACTCTGGCTATGTGCTAAGTAACTGGTAACATCCCAACCCGTTGAGTACTTACTGCAGCCGGTGAGGCTAAGCTCACCTTCTCAGGTGCACCATCCCACTAGCAAGCCTAGCCGTCAGACCTGCCGGATTTCTATTCCTGCAGACTTTCTTGGATGGTAATGAGTTCCTCCCCCGTTGGGGTTGTATGGATGGAATTGAATGGTAAAATTGATTCCTGAAGATTTTTTAGAAGTGCAACTTGAGACTCTAAGAGAATCCTGTGGCATGAAGTCTCCATGATCCTGTAACTGTTGAGCTGGTATTCTTCTTGGCCAGATGACCTGTTCTGGGATCTTGAGCTGCAGCACTTGTAGCCATTCTTTAAGAGATTGCCTCTCGGAAGTTTTGTCCTTATTCTTTCTTCCCACTGGCCCTGTGCCTTGCCTTCCCTTCCCTCCCCTCCCCTCCCCTCCCCTCCCCTCCCCTCCCCTCCCCTCCCCTCCCCCCTCCCCTCCCCCTCCCCCCCTCCCCCTCCCCTCCCCCTCCCCCTCCCCTCCCCCTCCCCTCCCCCTCCCCTGTCCTCCCCTCCCCTCCCCCTCCCCTCCCCTCCCCCCTCCCCCTCTCCCTCCCCCTCCCCTCCCTCCCCCCTTCCCCCTTCAAGTGATTCTCCTGTCTCAGCCTCCCAAGTAGATGGGATTACAGGCATGTGCCACCACACCCAGCTAATTTTGTATTTTTAGTAGAGACGGGGTTTCTCCATGTTGGTCAGGCTGGTCTCGAACTCCCGACCTTAGGTGATCCACCCACCTTGGCCTCCCAAAGTGCTGGGATTACAGGCGTGGGCCACCCTGCCCAGCTCTTTATTTTTTTCTTTAACTCAGATATGTGGTAGTGAGGTTCGGTCTTTTTTCTCAGGACATGCCACCCAACGTAGGTGGCAGGGAGTGAGGAGGTATTGTGATCAGAAATGACTCAAATGTGACTGTGGAAGTAAATTTTTCATCAAACAAGAATTACAGTTTTAAATAAAGGTGGGGACTATTATGGCTGGTAAAGATTTTAGCAAATCCAAGCACTTTGATTTTTCAGTTGAGGAAAAGAGGCAAAATACATGCTTCACTGGTGCAATGACAGTGTGCTGTGGCTTATGTTTTAGAAAGAACATTGCATCTGAGGACAAGAAATCTAATTTTGAAATCGTATGAGGTTATTAAGACTTTATGGGAGCTTGGGCAATATTCCTAACTTCTGTGAGTACGCCCTTTTTTCATCGATAAATTAAGGTACCAGTGCTTCCCCCTGTATCAGGGTTATTGAAAAGACTAGCGTGTTAAGATACTAGCACAGTACTTATATTTTTCAAACTATAAAGACTTATTTCAGGCCGGGCGCGGTGGCTCAAGCCTGTAATCCCAGCACTTTGGGAGGCCGAGGCAGGTGAATCACGAGGTCAAGAGATCGAGACCATCCTGGTCAATATGGTGAAACCCTATCTCTACTAAAAATACAAAAAATTAGCTGGGCATGGTGGCACGTGCCTGTAATCCCAGCTACTCAGGAGGCTGAGGCAGGAGAATTGCCTGAACCCAGTAGGCGGAGGTTGCGGTGAGCCAAGATCGCACCATTGCACTCCAGCCTGGGTAACAAGAGCGAAACTCCATCTCGGGGGAGGGGGGGTGGGAAGAGACTTATTTCAGAAGGAAACATCTAGTGAACACGGTCCTTTAAATCCTCTGAAAAGGACTTGCATGCTTTTACTAGTGTTAAATGATTACTGTGTTAATAACTTACTGTATAGATATCCTAAAGTATTTTTATCTTGTATTTTTGTAAACAAGTTATGGAATTAGCACTGATGGCTCCTGGAGGTATCTAAAAACATACTTGTATCTCATCTGTGGGCTTTCTGTGTGTGGCTGTATTCCAATGCGTGATTATGTCTGCAGGAGAGAGTCTCCTCTGTTGTGGTGCATTGTAACAAACAGCTCCTTTGATATTCTACCACATCTATACCCATGCTTCTTTGATTGGGAATTTGACCTGTTGCCTGTTGAACTGGCAGATAGTCGAGAGTTCTTTTATGTAAGCTTTGACAATGCTGATTCACAGTAGCTATAGCTACTTAATCTATATTAAGATAATCTGTATTAAATGTATCTATATATGTAATCTATTAAGAAACCTAAATGAAGCCAAATTTGGACCTTTCTATTGTACATGTATTTTTTTTCCAGAATAACTTAGAAGACGATGAAGATGTGGAAATGAAAAATGGTATAACCCAGGGAGACAAACTACGTGCCTTAAAAAGTCAGAGACAGCCACGTACCTCACCATCCTGTGCATTTAGGTAGATCTGTTTTAAATAGTTCAATTCATAGTGTGCTTCTCTTTGTGAGTAGAACGTTTAATCTTCTCTTTAATCTGTAATCTTCTTTTCTGAATATTGTTCTATAAATACCAAGTTTACTATTCTGTGCTGTTTATTAATTATTTTATCACTGTTGGGAGTAGCTAAAATTTAGAAGTTTATTGAGAGCAACTGCTGCATCTCAGTCTCTGGAATTCTACCTCAAGCTACAAAGAAGTTATCTCTAGAACTCTGTCTCAAATTCTGTTTGGATTTCTCCCCTTCTCCTATGAGTGAGTTTCTTGTCCGGTGTTGGATCCTCACAGGTGTGCTGAGGCTTTTGTGTTGAACCATAGATTGTAGAAGAGTATTGTATGCCAGTCTTCGGCAATCTAAACTAATTCTGCAGCATCAGCTTCTAGTTTTGAAAATTGAGTAAGCAATTCTTAACCTGTGCCTGTAAAGTTATAAGCCATCTTGACTTTGAAGTCTCAAACTACTCACCAGTATCAATGATGGGACTTGAATTCTGATCACAACATTTGAAACCCTCTGATAGTTCAGACTGGGTTAAAAAAGGTTTTGGAATCAAAAGGTGCAAACATTTGTAAATATCATCAATTTTTAAAATTACAATATACTGGGTGGCAAGGCCTCAGTCCACAAAATAATATAATCGGAAGCAGCAACTTTTCTTTGACTTATAAATAAGAGACACATATAGCATAAGGCTGTTTTGCCAGTATGATAAACACCAAACAGATTCACAGGAAATTTAGTTTTCATGTGTAATATGAGAGAATTACAACTGTACAGAGTTCCTGATCTAAGAACAAAAGGTTCATATTGCTCAAGGATGAGGTTATCTTTTTCTGCAGTATGCTGAGCTAAAAGGAGGAAAGCCTGGTGCTTGGTAATCTAATATCCATTTGCAGGGTTTCTCCCTTTTGCTAATTTAATATTTTTACTGGTTTGATACCATTATGTGCCTTATGGTCTTTGTGAAAACATGTGAGCCTGGTGATAAATGAGCATCTGTCTTTGATTTCCACAGGTTGGATGATACGAAAGGACACCCCAGAGCAGTGTCCCAGCCTTTCAGGTACTGTCATTGATGTTGAGTGTCTAGTAGCTTATAAATATATGCTTCCTTTTAGCCATGTTTCCCAAGCCTCCAACTGATGAAAATCAACTGTACATAGCCTTTCACTTTTTAAATTGCTTCCTTTCTCTTCCAGATTGTTTATGCTTCATTTTTAATGCTCACCATGAAAAGGATTTTTTTTTTTTTTTTTTCTGACCTGCCCACAGGGCTGTGTGGTGGTGGTAGTGACATCAATGTATTTTGTGTTCTCAGCACATTTTGGGGGGGGTCTCTAAGAAACTACAGGGGCTCTGTGTCTTTCCTTTTGATCTAGTGATAGATCTAGCCTTAACTGTTTTCATCTTTTTTTCAAAATTTAATTATTTTATTTTAAAGTTCCAGGGTATATGTGCAAGATGTGTAGGTTTGTTACATAGGTAAATGTCTGCCATGGTGGTTTGCTGCATTTATCAACCCATTACCTAGGAATTAAGCCCAGCATGCATTAGCTATTTTTCCTGATGCTCTCCACTCCCAACCATCCCCCAACAAGCCCCAGTGTGTGTTGTTCCTCTTCCTGTGTCCATGCATTCTCATTGTTCAGCTCCCACTTAAAAGTGAGAACATGCAGTGTTTGGTTTTCTGTTCCGGCATTAGCATGTTGAGGATAATGGCTTCTAGCTTCATCCATGTCCCTGCAAAGGACATGATCTCATTCTTTTTCATGGCTGCATAATATTCCATGATGTATATGTGGTATATATGTACTACATTTTCTTTATCCCGTCTATCATTGATGGGCATTTGGGTTGATTCCATGTCTTTGCTATTGTAAATAGTGCTGCAATGAATGTACACATGCATGTATCTTTATAATACAGTGATTTATGTTCCTTTAGGTATATACTCAGTCATGGGATTGCTGGGTCAAATGGTGTTTCCAGTTCTAAATCTCTGAGGTATCACCACACTGTCTCCCACAATGGTTGAACTAAATTACGTTCTTACCAATAGTGTAGAAGAGTTCCTATTTCTCTGCAACCTCGCCAGCAATTGTTGTTTCTTGACTTTTTCATAATGGCCATTCTGACAGGCATAAGATGGAACCTTATTATGCTTTTGATTTGCATTTCTCTGATGATCAGTGATATTGAGCTTCTGTTTTTTGGTATATATATATATATAATTGCATTTTAGGTTCAGAGGTACATGTGCCGAACCTAAAATACATGTGTTTTTGGTATTTTATATATATATATATAATTGCATTTTAGGTTCTGGGGTACACGTGCAGGATTGTTGCATAGGTACATACATGGCAATGTGGTTTGCTCCCTCCATCCCCATCACCTATATCTGGCATTTCTCCCATGTTATCCCTCCCCAACTCCCTACCCTCCACTAGTCCCCCTGCCACAGACCTCAGTGTGTGATGCTCCCCTCCCTGTGTCCATGTGTTCTCATTGTTCAACACCCGCCTATGAGTGAGAACATGTGATGTTTGATTTTCTGTTCCCGTGTCAGTTTGCTGAGAATTATGGTTTCCAGATTCATCCATGTCCCTACAAAGGACACAAACTCATTGTTTTTTATAGCTGCATAATATTCCATGGTGTATATGTGCCACATTTTCCCTGTCCAGTCTATCATCAGTGGGCATTTGGGTTGGTTCCAAGTCGTTGCTATTGTAAACAGTGCTGCAATGAACATATGTGTGCATGTGTCCTTAAACTAGAACAATTTATAATCCTTTGGATATATACCCAGTAATGGGATTGCTGGGTCAAATGGAATTTCAATTTCTAGGTCCTTGAGGAATTGCCACACTGTCTTCCACAATGCTTGAACTAATTTACACTCCTACCAACAGTGTAAAAGTGTTCCCATTTCTCCACATCCTCTCCAGCATCTGTTGTCTCCAGATTTTTTAATGATCCCCATTCTAACTGGCATGAGATGATATCTCAATGTAGTTTTGATTTGCATTTCTCTAATGACCAGTGGTGATGAGCATATTTTCATGTTTGTTGACTTCATATA